CCTCCGCCGCGCGAACTGGCTTCGCACCGCGAGCGTGCGCCAGTCCCCCAGATCGACAGAGGACGCAGTGGGGTGAAGAGCAGGTGTTCGTCGGCGCTGACGCCTAGACGAATCAGGCGGTCGCCACTGTTGTTGAAGTCGTTGCTGACCATGCTTCTGCCTTGGCTCGAGATGGAAGGGAACAACACCATGCAGCCCGCACAACCGTGGAGCAAGCAAGGGAGAAGCACAGAAGAGAAAGAGGGCTTTATTGAAATACTCATCTCGTCGATTTGGAGGAGGCTCCCGGCGGCCACCATGACCGCGAGAAACCCGCTCACCACCATGACGACGAAGTTGAGGAACGTGGTCCTCGAAGCACCCATCCGGGTCATTTATTCCACTAGGGAACTGCTACTGGAAGATAGGACAAGGAAGGGGAGAAGGGAAAGCAGGGGAACCGGCCCCTCAACCCTCGTCGCCGGCGAGAACACCGGAGAAGAAGAGCAGGGGGCCGGCGGCTGGCTGCCACTGGGGGTTCTCTCGCTCACACAGAGGCTCTCGGGTCTCAGCCAGTCGCGACTGTTTCGTTCCGTGATTCATCACTATTGCAGGTTGTGGAGGTCCATTAATTTGCCGCAGGGTAGGGTGGGGATGGGTGTGCGTAGCTTTGTTTCGTGGAGGCTAACATAGCCACGTCTCCTGTACGTACAGATGTCCATGTAGCCCGTGGATAGATGGCATGGCATGAAGCCCCTAATTTTGGCCCGACACGAGCACGACCTGATCCGGTGACGTGCGGGCCTAGACAGGCATGGCCCGGGGTAGCAGGCCGTGTCCGGGCCTTACCCCAGGCACGACGTGCCAGCCCGGCCCGGACCGGCCTACGATGGCAGGCTCGGTAGCGGCCCGACTTCCCCATGCCATGCTAAGAGTAAGAGCCCACTCTAATCCCTAACCCCCCTCTGCACTCATTTCCCCCTCACACGACCCCACCCCCCCCGCAGCCCCGCCGCACTCCCTCTCGCTCTATCTCGCGACTCGCGGAGTCGCAGTCGCGCTCGCCTCCCAGCCCTCCCACTCGGTCGCGCTCACCTCCTCGCCTCTTCCTCCCGCTCGCGGCCTTACACCACCGCACCACCGGCCGCCTTCTCCACACCCTCCCCTCGTAATTGCAGACGCCATACGTCGGGCCGAGCGCCGGATCCTCACGGCGGTAAGCCGAGCCGCGGCGGCGGCGAGCGTGTGGCCGACCTCGAGCAGCTCCATTCCTCGGCGGGCAGCACGCCGGCGGTCGCCGCCACCTCTCCTGCTTCCCCTTCCCTCTCTATGTCGGCGGTCAGTGGGCCTCGGGCTGGCCCGGCCCGTTGGCCGTGGCGTGCTTTTTGGGCCAGCCCGGCACGAAAAGCGGCCCGACAGGCCGTGCCTGGCCGTCAGATAGGCACAAAGCACAGTTTGGCACGGTCCGAGAGGCACGGCATGCCGTGCCGGCCCGACTCCCATCGGCCCGTGCCTAGCACGGGCCCGTGCCGTGCCGGGCCGGGCGCCCGTTGGCCATCTATACATGTACGGCACACCTAGATTAGTTCGGGCTCCGATTGCAGTGGTTGTTTTTTTAAGAGGACTTATATTAAATCTTAGCACAGTAGATCCCCAAATTACACAAAAAAATATGAAATAAAAGTTACGTGATGTTCTATTCAGATTATTCCATCGTCTTCTTCCTAATGGCTTCCCTCGAACGGCGGAGCCAAATCCGACAACCAACCCTAACATTGGACATGCCGCAAGATCCAACGCTTCTGAACTGGTCCAAAACGCATCTAAATCGTTGAAAGAATATCGGCAGTTGCATCATCGGGTACGACATAGGCTGCAAAATTATCACCTGGAGACCTTGAATTCATCTCCGCGACCATCGACGGTGAGATCGATGACCCAGAGTCGTTGTCCTCATTGGGGGCTCCCAAAAGCACCCCTTCCCCTGCAGATAAAGGTCACAAATTGGCTACCTGCCGATGAAATCGACGCTGCATCCACGATCTCGTCGTGACAAGCACCGAAGTCATCGCAGGAAACATGATGTCGACAGAAAATCATCTGATTTCGCTAGAAGATTTATTAGACCAAACCCTAATCAACTGGATAGAAAAACTACAGTAAAAAAGAATGGGTCCCCTCCCCTTCTTATCTCCGGCAGATGCACCGGAGATGAAGGAGAGGGGCCCTGGATGTGGCGGCGACAGAGCGAGGAGCGGCGGCGGCTCTGTACGTGGGTACGAGGCGTGCGTCACTATCGCAGTGGTTGGTTTGCTTGCACACAAGTGCAGTGCAGTCGAGCAGAACACGAGAATGTCGGGCATGGGTTCCTCAACGGCGCGGCGGAAACCGCACGTCGTGCTGGTGCCGTTCCTGGCGCACGGCCACGTCGCGCCGCTCGTGCAGCTCGCACGCACCCTCCAAGCCCGGAGGGCGGTTTGGCAGGGGCAACCGGGCAGGTGCCATATATCTCCTTTTTTGCTTATGCTCCAAATCTTGTTGCACAAAATATATTCAAATATGCTCTTGTTATTAGAAACTTGATGGCATAGCTCAATTTCCTCGTTGACACATTTTGTTTGTCAACAGATATTGTTTCGAGTTAGTAGTGTTGTGGTATCATAGGTTCTTGTATGATATTAGCCCAGTGAAACGTGATGTCGTTTTTTTTACAACAAATGTGATGTCCTTGTTGAATAATGTTATAGCGCTAGGCAAAGTAGTGTGGTACGATTATTTTATGCATATTTTATACTATTAATTAAAATAGGGTTTGGACTCTCTGTATTGTAATTTATGCAGATTTCAAACTTTGTATTGAATTTAGAACTTATTATGATATTTAGCACCTATATATCAAATTGAAGAGCAAATTTTTATTAATTATTTACCGAATTATTATGAAGTTCACCCGATTCGGTAATGCTCATACACGGGCGTCCGGAAACGGACGCCCGAGTAGGACGCCTCCTCCACCCCCGTGTGACGCCTCTCCCGTGCTCGCTCCGGCCTCCGCCACGCCCCCGTGTTCACTCGCTCCCTCCCTCCTTCCCTCTCCTTCCGCGAGCTCCCTGGCAACCCCGGCGACCCCTCACCTGCGCCCCCCACCAAAGACGAAGACGGCGGCGGTGGCGGCTGCTCCGACGAGGTAGGCCACCTCCTCTTCCTCCTCCTCCTCCTCCTCCTCCTGGATCTGACCCCATCGGAGACGAAGACAACGGCGGTGGTGGCTAGGGTTCCGGCGAGGCTCTTCTCCTCTTTCTTCTCCAACTTTGGCGGGTATAGAAGGGGCCGGCCGAGGGGGGGGGGACAGGGTGGCCAGGCGGTGGAGATGGCCGGCGGGTGGTTTAGGAGAGCTGGCAGTGGCAGCGGCGGCTGGTCTAGGTCTCGGGGCGGGAGAGTTTCGCCGGAGTTGGAGAAGATAGGGTCTGGGCGGTGGCAGCCGGAGGGGGAAAGGAGAAGAAGGAGGCCGCAGCGGTCGTGGTAGGGTTTCGCTGGAACGCCGCGGCCGCGGCCGCGGCCGCGGCGATGGAGCTCCAGTGAGACCCTACCGTGCCGCGGCGCTGGGCGGTGGGGTGGTGGGACGGTGGCTGGCGATGAAGGGCGGGGGCGGGGGACGCCCAGTGCGAGGAAGAACGACGCGGGGGTGGACGCTGGGCACGGGGAGGAGGGCGTCCGGACGTCCAGGCGCTAGCAGCGCCGTACCCGATTTCATGTAAAAATTTCAGTGTAGCATATTGTTTGGCAAAATCCTAGATCCGTTACCGTAGAAAACGTCTGTACCCATATGAGTTACCACTTTTTTGAAGAATAATATGGGTTACCACTTTCGTTAGGGCCGCAAATTCCAAGTCATCATATTCTAGCACTTTTTCAGAGAAGTCACATTATAGAAATAGGTGCTTGTAAACTTCCTCGGTACCTTCTAGGAATACATTATTCTTTCTTATTCATAAGAGGCCTGTTGCATTTTTTTTATAAAGGCATTTAAAATAGTATCTCAATATTGATATATGTCAAAGAAAACAAAGGCTAATACAGAAAACAAGGGCCATGCCGGCAAAATCCGGGGCCCTATTCTAAACTCTAAATAGGCCCTATTTAGAAAGAGAATATACGGCGTTTTGGCTTTTCAAGAGTATATTATTTTTAGTACGCACGTAGATATAGTGTATATCTAAATACATGTCAAAACTATGTATCTAGAAAAGACAAAGTGTTTTATGATTTGGAACGAAGAGAGTACAAGACACGGTTAGTTATATACTTGAGATTCACTATTTTACCCACAAGAAATAATTCCAATAGTAATATACTATTATAAAGAGTAAGACACAGTTAACCATAGGAGTTATCTCAAAATTTACATGCATCAACGGCAAATCAGCAGACCCCCAACCCAAGAATCCGAGGCCCTGTTCGATTGCACAGGTTGCACGCCCTTGTGCATAGCCAAGACAGATAATAAGACGTACAAAAGTTATTCTAACTCGTATGAGCACGGATTATTTATATTTATATATATATAGACGTAATAAACTCTCTATTATCCGATAGTTAGAGAGAGATGGATAAAAAATTGGATGGACGAAAAAAAATAGGTTAAAATTTTGTCTCTTTATTATTAGGTATAGATATAGAGTTGTTGCGCTGCGTGGCTGCAAATTGTTCCATCTCTATTGCAGCTCGTGGAGGTCAATTTGCCGCAGGGTAGGGTGGGTGTGCGTCGCTTTCTTTCGCGGAGGCTGCTAACATATCCACTTCTCTTGTTTGTACATATCCACGTCTCCTGTACAGCATGTATAACAGGACACTGTAGAAGTAGGTTCAAAGCCAAGGAGGGCATCCTTGTGTGCCTCCGATCGCAGCGGTTTGTTTGCTTGCACACAAGTGCAGTGCAGTAGCAGTAGGGCAGGGGCAGCAAGAACAGATGCAGTATATTGCAACTGTCGTCGTCCTGTCGAGCGGGCATGGGTTCCTCGATGGCGCAGCAGAAGCCGCACGTCGTGCTGGTGCCGTTCCCGGCGCACGGCCACGTCGCGCCGCACGTGCAGCTCGCGCGCGCCCTCCACGTCCGCGGCGTCCACGCCACGCTCGTCCACAACGAGTTGCACCACCGCCGCCTGCTGCGCGCCGCCACGGCGGCGGCGCCGGACGAGGCCTTCGCCGTCGAGGTCATCCCGGACGGGCTGTCCCTCGACGACCCGCCGCGCACCCTGCGGGCGTACCACGAGGCGATGGAGCGCAACTGCCTCGAGCCGTTCAAGGCGCTGCTCCGTGACCTGCTGCTGGGCACCAGCAGGCCCGGCGTGCCGCTGGTCAGCTGCGTCGTCGCCGACACCCCGATGCCATTGGCGGCCATGGCGGCGCGCGAGGTCGGCGTCCCGGACGTGCAGTTCTTCACGGCGTCCGCGGCCGGCCTCATGGGCTACCTCCAGTTCCAGGAGCTCCTGGCGAGGGAGATCGTCCCGCTTAACCCCGCCTACGAGACCGACGGCTCCCTCGACGCCCCGCTGGACTGGGTACCCGGGATGAAGGGCGCCCTGCGGCTCAGGGACATGCCCACGTTCTGCCGCGCCACGGACGCCGACGACGACTGGCTGCTGCACTTCCACGTCCACCAGATGAAGACCGCCGCCGCCTCCAAGGCCGTCATCCTCAACACGCTCTACGACATGGAGAAGGACGTCGTCGACGCGCTCGCGCCGCTCCTGCCGCCCATCTACACCGTCGGCCCGCTCGCGAGCGTCGTCCACGGCGGCGGCGGCAGCAGCAGCGGCCCCGCCGGCGGCCCGACGACGACGATGGTGGGCGTGTTGCAGGAGGACAAGGAATGCATGGCGTGGCTCGACGGCAAGGCAGCGTGCTCCGTCGTGTACTTCAGCGTCGGCAGCCACGCCAGCATGGGCGACGCGCAGCTGAAGGAGATCGCGTCCGGGCTGGCGCGCTGCGGCTCTCCCTACCTCTGGGTCCTGAGGCCAGAAATGGACGCTGAGGTCGAGGTCGGCAAGGACGGCCTCGTCGTGCCGTGGTGTCCGCTGGAGGCCGTGCTCAACCACCCGGCCGTGGGGCTGTTCGTCACCCACTGCTGCTGGAACTCCATTCTAGAGAGCGTCGTCGCCGGCGTGCCGGTGCTCGGATGCCCCGTGCTATCTGAGCAGACGACCAACTGCCGCCAGGTGTGCATGGCGTGGGGCATCGGCGGTGAGCTTCCTCAGGGAGCGGGGAGCGACGAGATAGTGGCGCTCATGAGGGAGATGATGACCGGGAGGAAGGGGAAGGACGCAAGGGAGAAGACACTGCAGTGGAAGAGGCTGGCTCAACTCAGTGCACCACTACCGGAATCGAAGGCTTTGCCGAGTGCATATTCTTTGTTGAGTGTATTTTATCGGACACTCGGCAAACCATCTCTTTGATGAGTGTCAAACTAAAAACACTCGGCAAAGATTCTGACACTCGGCAAACTCTGTTTTGCTGAGTGCCTTACTAGAAAATATTCGACAAAGATTCTGATACTCGGCAATTATACTGAAAAACACTCGGCAAACTCGAGCACTCGGCAAATATGGGGAAAACACTCGGCAAATTACGGCACTCGGCAAACATCGCGTCACGTGTCCCTCCTTGAAAAGAGAAAAATAAAAAAAATCCTTTGCTGAGTGTCAGATCTAGGACACTCGGCAAATACTGCTTTGCCGAGTGCCAGATCCAGGGCACTCGGCAAAGCGTCCGCCCGCCGCACACTTAACACGCACGCACACCCCCTCCTTCCCTATCCCCGCTCCCCTCTCCCTGCCCGCTGCTCCCCTCTCCCAGCTGCCTCCGCGCCCCTCCCCTCCTAACCGCTTTCCGTATAACCCTGATTCTTATAATCGCTTCCTTCTTGTTATCCAAGCAGGTAGTGTGTATTTACTGATGATATATGTTGTTAATGAGTGTATCGTGGAGTATGTTATATATGTTTGGTTATTCTTTAGCCATCGAATAGGGATGTTGTAGCCAATCATTTACTATTAGAACTGTAGTTTACTTGATGCTTGTGATCAATTTTTTTCTGCATTTTTACCTTTCTAGTGTCTAGTATCCAACTGGTTTCATATAACAATATATCCTATGGGTTTATTTCCCGGATTGTTGAAGTGCAATTTGCATAGTTTTGCAAGCAAATGTGTTACATCAAATTGTTATATGCACTAGTTAGGTTGACATAAAATCATTCGTTGGTATATGGATACATATATTTCCGCTGGTACCTAGCTTAATATGGTATGATTTTTGACTTTAGTTTGTACTAAACTAATCCTTGCTTATCTGTTACCCAACATTTTACAGCTCTTATATCTTTACTCAGTTAATCCTTTCTGTTTTTTGAACAATTAAGCATGCTGTTTAATTGTTATCTTCACTATAGATATTGACAGAGACCACTTTTATAAGCTAGAGCAATCTGAATACTTGGCATTGGAAAGCAGGCCTTTATTTGTTTGGCTGGCATTTTTTTTTCATCCACAGCTGTTGTTGCTGGCTGTCCCTCTCTCACGTGCTACTGTAAAGTTCATGTAGCCATAAGGTAGCTGCAGCCAGCCACAGCAGCTGGAACGCCAGCTGAACTTAGTAACATACGCAGCTGCTGTTACTGGCTGTGTCTTGACTGATTTAGTTCTAGTATGCTGTGCTGCTGTATAGCTATGCTGAGGAATTCTTAGTATGTCTTGACTGATTTAGTTATGCTGGTGTATAGCTATGTTGAGGAATTCTTAGTATGTCTTGAACTTCACTAATTTAGTTCTTTATATCTGTGCTGCTGTATAGGTATGTTGAGGTAATGGATACGCAAAAGAAGATCAAGACTTACTGGCCGGGCAAGGCAGCACTAAACGACTCCACGTATGGAGAACTAGAGACCAAGGTGAAGGCTCTAGTCAAGACTAAAGTCGATGTTGATTCTTCTAAACTTATACCTGTCGTTAGTTTCTTAAATTTGTCATCTTCATTTCTATATCCATGTGGTTATTATGAGAATTATGTTGCCAGGAGCATGATGTGCATGCAGATATGGTGTACTAAGAGTGTTTTGTATGTCAGCTATTAAACTGAAATATGCTGAGAAAAAAATTATTTTTTTCTTTGAAAAATAGGTTTGCCGAGTGTAATTCCCAAAAACACTCGGCAAACAATAATGGTATGTTGAGATTTTTTTTTTGAAAAATAGGTTTGCTGAGTGTAATTCCCAAAAACACTCGGCAACCAATAATTCTTTACTGAGTGTATTTTGGAAAACACTCGGCAAACCACTTTTTTTTGCCGAGTGTCAAATTTGACACTCGGCAAACCATTTGCTGAGTGCGCGATAAAAAACACTCAGCAAAATAGCTGTTTGCTAACACTGTAGATGATGTGTGCTGTTTGCCGAGTGTTACACTCGGTAAAGCCTTTGCCGAGTGTTTTACGGCAAAGTCACTGTTTCCGGTAGTGCACAAGGGGGCTCATCTTACGATAACATTGGTCGATTGGTAGAGAATATCCTACTCAAGGAGATCTGACTTCAAATCATCGTCGACATCCGAGCAAAGTTTTCATTATCGAGAATAAAAATTTATCGGAGGTCATAAATAAATAGGATAAATAAGATATATCGAAAATATCGGAACACATTAAAAAAATCAAACTATTTTGAAAAAATTCACATAATTTGACTTGAAACTATTCTTATCCTAAGCTATTAAACATCACTTGTTCACAGATAAAACATGAATAAAACATTATAAGTGTGGATTGTAAGGATGTTCCCCTTTTTTTTTAAAAAAGACAGGAATAAAACATCACTTCTTCATAGGATATTTATGTAAGGATGTTCCCCTGATTTTTTTTAAAGAGTAAAGTGCATCTCCAATCCTTAAACTTGTTCTTGTTCTTGTTTCGGGGTGTCAACCTGGTCCTCAATCTCGCAAAATGCAGATTTAGATCCCTAATCACTATTCGGGTCCCATCTCCATCCAATTGGACATAGACGAGCTTACCCTGCTGGCGTGTCCTTGCCACCGTGTATAGTACGTGGCATTGTTGCGGGAGGTGTTGATGATTTTTTATTTGGAAACCCCTATAGTTCAGACTAATGCAGGGGAGGCTATAAATACCCTCTCATTTGAGGTGGGTTGGAGCTAAGGAAGTGAAGTGTAGTGTAAGTTGAGGAACATCTCCAATTTCTCTAGCCATCAAAGTAGTGCTTTGTAAAATGCTTATGCTAGTTAGACCTTGTATTTCACACTTGTTTTAGGCCTAGGTCTAGTGTTTTGTAAGGTTTGCATACTTTTTATGTCGATGCAACGTTTCTTCTTTTTAGAATTTTATAAAACTTGGGACACGAGTGATCAGTGATGCCGTCAGTCTTGAATGGTAAAGTAGTAAAATCTTAACACTGAATTGAGATTCTTACAATCTTGTGTGATTCACGGCTATATCAAGGTACGGTTACAACGATTTTACAAACACCACCAGCTTCAGGGCTCAGGACGATCATGGTACGAAAACCACATATAGCCCCGAAACGTAGTACTATAGTTCCATATCTCCCCTTCTACAAAAGAAAAATGATTTACACTTGTTGGACATCAAATACTTGGCCTCCTCATAAATGATATGTTGAGAAAAATGTTGTGAAGGCTGTCAAGTCTGCCCAACTTGGGAAGAGGCTCTTCAGTTTCTTTGTACTATCAACAAGATACTGGTCAAGTACCGCAACATCGATTCTCAGACTTTCAGAAGAGTTTGCCTGTCATGTTCACAACTCGTGCAGAAACAATATAACAGTGAGAAGCAAGAAAAGGAGCTCCAACAAAGATTGACAGCCAAACAATTGGGAAAATAACCTCCAGCGATGAAACATCGACATATCATGGTAATTCACAATGGCACAGGCAAACCAAATAATATGACAACAAAGATTGACAGCCAGATAATAAAATAAACACATCAACATACCATGGTAACACACAATAGCAACCCGAATAATATGCCAACAAACATTGATAACCAGATAAAATAAACACATCATGGTAATTCACAATGGCAACCTAAATATTACGATTAGTCAGGAAAAAAGGGGGGACTCCTACTATCTTGATTCATGGCATAGCAGTTTTTATATAAGCCCAGGTTTGTGGCTCTAATGTTTCACTAAACATCTCCTTTAAAACTTCAGGTGACAACATGGTATCATTGTACATGGTAGTAGGCCAAGTTGGAGTGAGGACAACACTGCCAGCTGGATGAGAACATACATTGTGAAACATAACTATAAAGCCCATGATTATATGACACAAGACCAAATTGATATCAGGAGTCTGTGAACTCTCTCATGAATTTAACCTCACAATGTTATAACTATTAAACCCATATTATGTGACAGAAGACCAAATTGATATCAGGAGTCTGTGTGAAGTCTCTCATGAATGTATACCTCAGAATGTGCCTAAAGACAATTGGACAGGTAAAGTGGAATGGAGTAACTAAAACTCTGCTGTGTTTTTACAGTATACATTGGCCACTTGGTCTTAGTGACTTAGTTTCCTATATTTTGGACAAGAGTGCATGTAAACATAAGAACTAATGGAAATTCAAACATCAATAAAAAAAAGCCTGGCAGTGATTCCCATGGGTTTGCTTGCAGGGCATATTATCATTACCTCCAACCAGAAAGACCAATCCACATCGCTCTTTCCACTGAGTCGACAAATATATGATGGTGGCCCGCCACTTACAGTTTGAGGAGCTAACGAGGATAAACAGAACAAATTATTATCCAGCGAGTCTAATGGAAGCAAACAAAAGTAAACAGCATAAATAATTGCAACCACCTGGGAGCATGTTATCAGCAAAGGACCAATTTGATAGTGGCCCAGTAATATTGAGCACAGAGGTCCAAATTTCTGATAAGGAACTGAAACAGATAAAATCATAAATTGAAGTATGCTTATAAAAAAGGGTATCATTTACAGGTTTCATAAATATGCATAAAATATAACTCTTACCCAAGTGAAAGTTTGAGATGCACCCTTCGCTGCCCATTGTTATCCCAGATCTCCTGAACAGCTAACTGAGGGAAATGCTGGTAATACTTTCTAATCTCTTCAGTTTGTGCCTGAAATTTTAGACTTCCAGAGAACAAGAACGGGACAGGGTACACAGCCTGCAAAATGAAACAACCGTATTGCTGAATATTGCTTCACGTACTTTCGTCGCGTGCATTCATAAAGGCACAATATGTGTTGAAAATTAACAAAGGGAACTTGCAAGGTCACTCAATGTTACACTATCCAACTATACAATTATGTTTACTCACCAACCATGAGCTTCTATCAGACCGATATTTTTCTTCAAAAGACAACTCAGAGTTATCCTTCAGCCATCTGGCGGCCTCAGGTGCATTGTTGAAAAGAAACTCCAATGAGTTAGAATCAACCACAGAGAAACCATAGCTTGAATCTATAACATTATTACCATCTGAAAAAAAGATCAAGCATAATGTTTCACAGGAATGTTATGGGAATACCTAGAAAAAATGATATTTTGGGAAGGCCAAAAATATGCTTAAGACAACTTTTACTGCTCGTGACATAGATTACTATGGAAGAAGTAAAAATTTTAAATGCATCAAATTACAAATGTCAAATATTCAGAGCCTCTGACTACAGTCAAATAAATTGTAAAATAGGTTCCCAAAGAGGACATGTTTTTGCAGCAGGGGCCAAAAACAAGGATCTTTTCCACTGATACACCAAAAATTTTGCAAGTGAGAAATAAGTTTGAAACCCTATACTATTCCATGGAGAAGAAAATTAGACCTGACTCCAGGACTTGATTATAAATGAGAACTTATTTTAAGTCTAAAGCAGAGTAGCTCCAGAAAAAGTGACTTCCAAAGGATCAAATGAATATTTAAATCGTTACAGCTTTTTAAACAATGAAACATTAACATGATGACCATGAAACAGAAATAGAGTTTTGTTTCACTTGATTCAAAACTTGGAAAGAAGACCACCCATGATGAATAAGGTGACTTTTTGTACTAAGAAAGAAGGCACCAATATTTGAGCGGAAGAGGACTCCAAGCCTCAAACTTAGCTAGTCTCAGTTCTTTATATTAATTTGGTTGCACCATACAAAATTGAGATACATTATTTTTTTGCTACAATTCAGGGAACCTAAAAGCAGCGAACCTGTAACAAAAGTATGTTGAAGAACAACTCTTTTTGGTGCTCCAGTGCTGTAAGGAAACAGTTGAGATGAGACAGCCAAAGCAACCACTGTAATTTGCAGAAAGACATGGAGAATTGAGGTCTTCGACAACCAACGACCAGCAACAGGTGCTAGAGGACCAAAACACCAACCAACCACTAATCCAACTACAGCTCCAACAATAACATCAGGCACAAAATATCCTGCAAAACAGCCAAATCATGACGCTGTTAATTGCTGGAGTTTACTGTTTAATTACATTTTTTTTCTGGACCTAATAGTAATCCATGCAATATATCCAATGAAGAACATAATCCATTCAAGCTTATAATGTCTAGTAACATATCCAGTACTCAAGTAAATCAGGGCAAGTTGACTATCTAATTGACGCAATCCATTGTGGCATTTGTGATAGAATACTGTTCTATCATGAGTCTGCTCTCAAGGACACGCCATATTGAAGGTTTTGTAGTTTTGAGGGATGAAAACGAAATCTAGCCTAAGTCAAGGTGTCATGGAGGCCAGCCGTCCCCAGACGTGTGGGCCAAGGCACCTCATCTATAAAGACTGCTGCAGGATGTACAGTTAAATTTATGCATTGAATTATCAAGGAGAGATCCTCATCTAGCCCAGCGCTTGAGTTTGGGTGGTGCCTTCTCTGACATGCCCAATCTAAAGTATCTGGCCCAATGTCTTTTCGTTAAAGTCTATCTTGCCTTGCCCAAGTCTGATGGTGGAGCCCAATAACCAGTATTTTACTCTCCTTATTTTTTCTACAAGTCAGGTACAACATGTCCTACTACCTTTGAAAAATTAACATGCAAATCATCATAAGAGAAGATGGAGGATGAAGAAGAAATCATATTTTAACAAGGGGAGTGCCTTCCAGCTAAGGACCCACAGCACAGGAGTGCACTGGAGGCAAACCAAATTTTACAGGTCGGTTAGCAAACAACACAAAGTTAGGGTGTCCTGGACGATAACTGCCTTAATGCAAGTATGATATTCAACTGTTCTCACAAAACTTTTGAATGACACACACAAGTACTTGAAGAAATTGTCAATTGAAATCAGCGGTAGCATACTAACCATATGGTTTTGGAAGAGATCCCATCATGCCCATCTTTTCAATCAGGAACTGGATAAGGAATCCGCCATAGTAAAGACAATAAAGGAGACATGGGATCATAGGCAGCACATACGCAACCAACGACCTGTACATTATTGGTCTCAATCAAAGATATTCAAGCCAGACACATATTGTCATGGTTGGATTTGGTGTTAGCATAGGGATTCTGTTTGAAAATTTTACAGTATAGGATGATAGGAGACAGAAATTTTCATGTAAAATCATCAACTCTGATCATAACAAGGGGCCAAAATTAACATTAAAAAAGTATAAGAGCATGAAATATCTGAAATTTGATATAGAACAAATAAGAGGTCAAAAAATGCAATGTGCAACGGATGTTACCATTTTTTCTATATCAAGCGAATATCTAACTAGTGTCCATATACTGAAATACTGAATCAAGATAAACCTCAGAGTGCAGGTATTATGACATATTCAAGTGAGCAACCAAAATATAGATTTGTATTGAAGTGAAGAAACAATTGTGTTTGGCTGAATCACATTGATAACGTGGAAAATAGTTGAAGGAGAATCAATAAGAACAGTAGAATTTGCTCACCTAGGTGATTGTTGGCTCCACTGCTTCCTATTGATGCTAGAGACAAATCGCCCAAGAAGCATGGACATGGAAATGAAAAATGTTAGAAAACCTCCACTCAGCCCAGCTAGCGTGTAGGCCTGCATAAAATGAATAGACCAAGCATGAATTATGATCATACAAATTATTAGTTGAAAATAATACATACAAGGTAACTTCAGGACCATATACAGTAGGGGCTTCCCCTACTGTATTCCCCTCACAGAAACTTTAGGACCATATGAAGATAAAACCATTTCCACTGAAAAATGTTTAGATGTGCTTATCATGTTCACATCTATATGCATGTGAAATGTGACTATAACATGATTTGACTAATATAACTTCAAACATTTATTCTTTCTTTATTTTTTTTTATTTTTGCAATTTGCTAATCAGTGTGCATACATATGGAACAAAATTACCATATACAGTACAGGAAGCAAAATGTTTACTATCAGAAAGAGTCTTGTCACTTGTCAGTCATCTTTTCACTGCCCCTCTCCACCAAATAAATTCCAAAAGGAAAAGCACTAAAAAATAGCTATTCACTAGTTCATATCTGATAATCTGTCCTTTTTCTCTCCCCTTGCTAAAATAAACCAGAAAACAAAATCCCAAAATAAACTCTCACAAATCACCTCCCAAGATCGAAATCCGCATCATAAATTATGTAACCAGAATCAATGTTTTATCTAGATAATAATGACTAGTAAGATCCTGAGTAGTACACGCAAAAGTGCTAGCACAAGTGCAATGGGCAATAGTAAAGCGATCATTTCGACCTGCTCATGGTCTCTAAAATATAACTATAGCCTAATGTAATATCTATAAAAGCTACTAAGTTTGTATAATTTTACTGTAGTACTTCTCAATATGAATCTGCATACATCATTCTTCACATGTTCAATGTCAGCATTCATAGAGATATCAATAACAAAAAATTTTAAGGACACCTATCCATAAACTAAAATATTTTTGCAACTGGATGCAGTTAAGGTTAACTAGTCAATAGTTGATGCAGCTTTGATGTGTCAATATAACAGGGGCTTAAAGATGTTGAAAATCTTACCATAGTTATTAAAGAATACAACCCAAAAGCACCCCAAAAGTGTGCTTGCTCCGATAACCCCTAGAGTTTAATACAAAAAATTGATTAGAAGGAACAAACTATATTCAGTTAAACAGCAGCTTCACAACCAACAGATGGAAACTACATGCGAAATGTTTTATCCATAAGACAGATTATGCAGATTTCAGGATGCCGTCAAATCTTTTGTCTGCAGAAGAACTTATATACACATAAGAATTCTGGAGCAGTAGGGCAGGAAAAATCAAACTTTCAAAACATGGTCATCCTTAATGTAGTGCACAAGTAGTCTAGATTACTACTACATCCATTTCAAGATATATGGCCTATAACTATTGCAATATTGCTCGTATTCATATGTATTCATATGCATGGCTGAACAAAGGTTAAATGGCCTTTTCTTGCACTACTAGATAACATTACGCCAAGAAAGCAAAAGGCCCTGCGTCACCCCCGTCGGGCAGCTCGGGAGGATCCTAGCGACTGCCGCCGCACCTCCCCTCCTAGTCTCCCCCACCCTCGCTGCCTCCAGAGCACGCCGCACATTAGTCCGCGTGGGTGCGAGGACAGTGGAGGCGAGGCGCTTCTCCTTCGGTCGCACTCTCCTTCTCCCCATCATGACCTTCTCACTGGTGCTCTACAGCGGCCAACTGGCGGCTACCCGATCTGGATAGTGGATATTATCGGATCTGGCGTCCTGGCAGCCGGATCTGCTGTCCCCTGGGTGGATCTGCCCTATGACGGCCGATGGTGGGTGCTCATCGTCAAGGCCACTCGAGGCGAGGCTGGCGAGCATCGGGTGTGTAGGCATGGCACAGGAGGTTCTGATCCTGCTCAGGTTCGTGTCGACAGCGACAATGTGTGCGTGCTCGTCGACTCGGGGCTGCGTTGATGCCCACATTGACCTGCAGCGGGTATGGCCTTCCATCTGCAGTGGCTGACGGCAGGCAATGGAAGCAGTTGTGTTGGCCGCATGTGTTGGTCTCTTGATCACGCTGCGGTTCTTGGAGGACCAGCTGATGAGCAGTGGTATGGTCCTTTTGTGCAGGTTGAGGTGGAACGTGCAGGTGCAGGGTGAGGTGGAACGTGCAGGGTGAAAGCTTTGGCCACTGCTAGCCGGAGCCGATGACGGCGACACTTTGGGTGTCGTTCCCTTCTTTGGAAGCGTCGTTGAGGCACCTCCTCTCATCCTGCGTGGTTCTTCTGAGAAAATTCTGCCTAGGGGAGGTGATGGTAGCGCTCTGCGTCATTTCCTTCCTGAAGGTGTCACCTAGATGATCCTGCACCGCCTTGTCGGATGTTGGTCCGCGTGAGACATTTAATGCTTGTCTGCAAGCCTTAGGTTTCGATGAGGCGGGGCTCTTTTGGTTCGTAGCCTTGGGTTTCAATGAGGCGAGGCTCTTTCGGGTTCGTTACTTGCTTGCAATGTGTCTCTGGCTCTCCTAGAGTGGATCTGCAGTGGCAAAGTCAGAGCTGGCAGCAACGATGACAAGCTGCGTTCACTTTCCTTGGAGGTTGGGGCTGGTTGTGAGTAGGTGGCAACGTGTTATGAGCTTTGGCTGATGTTCGTCGTGGGAAGTCGGAGCTGCTTATTGCTGTTGTGAAGTTATGATAAGCTCGGCAACAGTGTTATCCTAAACGCTAAACGGTAAACAGTCGGTCACCTACCGTTTAGCCCATTATTCGGGCAAAATGGGTGTTTAAACGGGAAAAACGGTCGTTTAAACGGTCAAAACAACCGACTAAACGGAAACGGTGTACCATCGTGTAGCGTTTAAACGGGGTGTAAACGGGCTAAACAGCCGTTTAGGCGAACAGTGCTCGGCAATGATGACGTGTGGTGTACCCCGTCAGTGTGTGTTACCTTTGTGTGTTAGTGGGTTGCTTAGGGTTAGTCATCTGGGTTGTCATGTTTAGCTTTTTCACCAGTTTTCCATGAATAAACTGTGCGACTGTAATTCCTTCATAAACTGGGTCAATTATATTTCCTCTTAATTGAAAAGCAAAGCTCCTGCCATTGCAATAAAAAAAATGACCTTTTCTTCCTTATGCACTCACTTTATTTTACATCTCTTCAATATTTGGTATCTATATCCGTAAACACCCATAATAATCATTCATCCTCATTAACGAAGTACTATGGTTGATTCTCCTTACCATTTCATTGGTTTCTTGACCAAAATGGTCCTATAAAAGAAAATGAATGGAACAGTATAGTATGAGGTGAGGGCAGACTGGTGAAAAGCAAAAGCATCCAATTAGTAAATCCTTTCTTATTTCTCTCGGCACAAAGTAATCTAATTCAGAAATAGATGATCATGTAAGTAAATTACTATTTGTAACATCAACTGCTAATACAAAGAAACAGCATCATATACTTTTCATTGTATTCTTTTTCAACAAGAGAAGTGACCAGATATAGACATACCCAAAAAAAAACAACAGAAAGGGTACCACAAAGTAGTGATAAGGAAAATACCCATGTAACTCTCGGCAGCAATAGACCAATCAATGAAGTAGGGACAAACATAAGGAACACCAAATAAGGGTGAGCAAACCTGCACCCATGCAATAATCATGCAATAAGATAAAATTTGATTGGTAATAGTTTTAAGTAAAATTACAAAAAAACAGAAACTGTTCGTTTCATAGGTTTTCAGATACATAAAGAAAGAGATGACACATAGGTGACATATGTAAAAATAAGAACAAAATCATGTGACAACTGAGCTCATTCCCTGAACTACACAAGTGGCTCAGGATTCAAAAAGGAGGTATGAAACATTACTGCAACAACTGTTCATGACTAGTTCATACATAGATTCATTGCATCCTCTTGCAAGCAATTGAAATAACATTGTAAAGACGAGATAGTGCGATATGGATCAGTGTGAACGATCACTGCAAAGTGCAAACTCATACTATTTAGACTTGTAGATCTAAATGCATATCTTATTGGGCGCAATGGATAACATGTTAATGAGGGGAATGAGAATGTCCAAAAGATGAATAGATATGACATATGAGGGGCTGGATACACAAATCTAGAAGCAATACTGTCACAACTGGGTAGAGGGTGGACTCAGACACTTAATTTGCTTTCAATTTCCTAGAAGAACACTGAAACAGCGAAACTAAAACTTATAGGAAAATAAATAATTACCAATTCATTGCATTCTTCGTGAATAACAATCTTAATGCTGCAGCCACAGCAGGAATAAATATTGCAAGGATGACACCAAACGCATGGAGTAACATTCCTGCAACCATATGTGAGAAGCATTATAGTTGGCCAGCAGAATATATTGTACATAATCATGTGAATATGTAATACATGATTGATTAGCACTAATGCTAGAATCTTCTAATCAGATTAATGTTGCCAAAATATGGGGACTGCAATGTCCATAAATCTTTTTCTTCAGATAAGCACTTCTCATAAACTTCACAAAATTGCAAAAACAGTAAAGCACAATCAAGAACTCAAAAGACATCGCAAGATTAGCTTCATAAACTTCACGAAATTGCAAAAGCACAATCAAACAGTAATGCCACTATCAAAAAGTTGTGATTTTATCGAAGCAACATTCAAATGTCTAACCAAAGCAAATACCAAAAGCTAAATTCACTATTTATATGTTCTAAAAACCTCATTGTAATGTTGCTAAGCCCATTTTGGTTAGGGACTAGACAAAACTATAAATAAAATTAGTTAAATTAAACTTCACAAAATTATTCTAAAAAAAAATTGTTTAACATTTCTCTTGTCACTTAAGTTTCTTGTAGTTCAGATATATATACGTCAAACAGTATTGTTTTATTAGATGTAAAATTTAAAAGTAACGGCAATACATTGCAAATAATTATGCATGAACCATTTTGTGTCCAACCAAACTTATCCTCTACTCCCTTCTAATTCCTTATAAAAATTCTTCCCTCATACAAAAAATTTAGAACCACCAATATGATATCATTTTCAATGTACATTCCACATTTCATCACTTTACCTCTCATGAAACCTAGAAGAGTTACAAACCATGACATCAAGGTAATGTTTGGGAACTTCAGGAACAGCGGTACAAGAAGAAAAATGGCTACCGGTAGACTGTGAAGAATCAGAGAGATATCACGAGAATAAAACACCTGTGTGTAGGAATGAAGAATATTAAAATTAATCACGATTCACAAGCAATGACAAATGCATATGAAAAGTGAGAAAAGTATACATTGTTCAGAACCAATGCTCATGTCCACTTAGTGTTATCCTGCAAATTTGCAAGAATACAGAGTAACTTACCATGAACCAAGTCAAATAATCAAAAAAGACTGCCCGCAAATCTTCAATTCCATCCTTAGCAGCTTTATTAGATATCTCATTCTCTTTTAACAACATAGAATTTGTGAATGCCTTCACAAGGTTGAATAAATTTTCACCACGAGCTTGAATACTTCCAGGGCTAGTACAGAAATGATAATTCTTCAATTATTTACTTCATATAAAATATTAAAAAAATTCTCTAGTTTAATACATACAGTAGATTCTCCAATGTATCATATGAAGTATGATAGAAATAACCACCGAGAACAAAAATAATATCAAGTCCTGGAATGTTCGTAATGTCTTCAGCAAATATCCTATAATCTGTATCACCTGGGATTATTCCAAACATATCCTGCGTATAGGGAATACAATCCAAACATATCAGCTGGATTGCACAGAAGTAATAACCTTAGATGACACTGGCTGCAATATGCATTGAAGACCAACTCAAAGGATGGACCAAGCATCAGAAGCGAGCATCTTAACAATTTTGATAAGTATTCATGTAGACGTTAACCGAGAAAAAATTGAGCTTAAGCTTATTTAGAATTATATAAGATGCAGACCAGTGAGGCAGAAATAATTGCCTAATTGCAATAAAAATGTCTTTCCACACAATAGATGTTGGACGGCATACAGGCTTGCGCAGAGGGCTGCCACATCCAAGTCGCAGCCCTTTATGCGACCAGGAAGATGAGAACATCCAACATATCTTGTTAGATTGTGCTTTTTCCAGGCAGGTCTGGTTCTCCATTCTCCGGTGATATGGCTTCCACTCTGGATGTCAGCCTCTCCACGACCAATCTCATCGCTTAGGCACGATTTGGCAAAGTTTATGCCTCGAGCGGCCTGAGGCAGGCGCCGCACGAGCAAATCGGAGGGGGATTGGGCATGAGCGCAGACACAGTAGTTGCACGCGTGAAGAAGCGAATCAAAGGGAGATTGGGCATGAGCGCGGCCGTGGGTGTTGTGCACGCGAAAAAATTACCGCACGATGATTCATGGGAGATTTGCGCGCAAAGGAGACTGATGGGAGTTGCATCGGTGGGAAATCACAGGCCTACAGCTCCCGCAAGGCCCTAAGCCATCTCTCCAGTGTGTGCCAATTAACAAAGTGGGGGAACGGAAGAGGGCGTGCAACTGGTTCTTCACGGCACGCCGCCACCGGTGGAATCCAGCCGTTCCGCCTCTTTTTCTCCATCAACTAACCCCTCCGTTGATTCAACCCTTGCTTTTCTTGTTATAAAAAAAAACCCTGCATTTCTCCACCAATTTGTGCCTCCTCTAGGCCTCCCTCCCTCTTCCCCGCTGATTAGTGCCTTGGATTCACAGCTCCTACTGCTGCTCCGTCAGTTCCAGTCTCCGTCAGCTCGGCATTGCAACCTCACGGGACAGCTACGTGTGACTATGTGAGCATATGTTCTTCTCCCTCCGGCTTCTCTCCTCTTGGATGTGTAATGCCTCTGCTCTTTTTTTTTGGATATGATCTGCAGGTCTGTATTATGCAGTTTGCACTGCTACTTGTGTTTCTGGGTGGATATTAGACTGCTAGGTGCTCAAAGCTTGTGCTTGTGGTCTGATGTTGTATAGAAAGATGCTTTGTGTGAATGTGTGCTCTAGTCTCCATAACTTAATTTAATTTATTCATCTGTGTCCTCAACTACAGTTAGTGATCTGTGCCTTTGTGATTTGTTTATTACTAATGCCAGGGTTCTCTACTACTCTGCTTTTGCTTGTTGATCATTATGAAACTGGCTCTTACATGGGCTGTACTGCTATCTGCTAATAAACAGATGTTGGTTAGGAGTTAGGACACATGTATGGCGTCGCCTCACCGCGCACGCCTTAAATGCCTAGTCACTTACCGCCTTAATGACCATGGTTTTGAGAAAAGAGGCACATTGAAATATGCAATTTGGGATCACTCCCCCCCCCCCTTTTTTTTTTAATGCACTCGCATTTTAGTTGGTGACCTTGCAATTTGGTGCTCCTATTGAACTGTGGTTGCTAACTCAGCCTTGCTGGTTACTGACATGCTCACCACCAAGCTATCGTGTCTGCTGCCACTCCAACAAAGATTATTGTGATAAACTATTACAACAGCTCTGACTACCTATAAATGCTTGTAAACCCCAATGAAGTCAATGACCCCGCGTGCCTAGGTCAGGGTCAACATTCCCGGGTCGAGGGTCAATGCCTTTGACACTGTTTTATGTGACTATGGCCCACACTCACTCCACATGCAGACATACAAAAGTATATCAACCCTTCCACAACTTACATAAGTAATTATGTTGAGTAAACAAGGTAAGGAGCAAGAACCTGAGCAACACTATTTGCCATAGGGTACTTTGCAGTCTGAGCATAAATACGAGAAGGCCACGATCCAGGTCCAGATTGACAAACTAAATCTGGTGAGGAAAAAGACAAATTGCTAGGATCAAACTCAAATCTGAGATCAGCAAAGTAGTCTTAACAAAACCAAAAATCATTAATAGTTTTATTATTTCTTATCCAGCAATACCAGAAACTGTTTAGATCTTAATCATAAGTCATAAATCACGACAAGAAGTTTGAATAAATAAATTCATATTTTTCACTGAAAATCTTAACTTTTACCATAATGATCAACATAATAAAAGGTTAGCTACAATTTGGTAACAAAGTTTGTTTTAAACTTGATCTGTAAAAGTAGTACAACAGATGGTGAGTTGTGCTGCTTAGATAGGTATTGAAGCAGACTGACCTACGTGACTATTGACCATAGGGCGTGCTCGCTTCTGCTGGCTGCGGCTGCAGCAGCTGTAAGACACAGCTGCACAGGAATTTTACTGTAGCTGTTTTCTTGCGGCTGCTGCTGCCGCAGCAGCAGCCAGCACAGCCAATCAGGCTGAAAAGAGGCAGCACCCTTATGGCTGTGAAAAAACGAAGCTGAAGCTATATGATATAGGAAATGTTGAAGCTTGTTTATTGTATGTAATAGTTAATAGCACGGTTGTATTGCTTGGTTGGTAGTATTGCTTGGTTGAGAAGATCAAGTGAGTTGTTGTAAGCTTGTAGTGTGAAGCTATAAGATTAATAAAGTACAAAGTTGTGTTACTAGCTACTTGTGTTATCTTTCATACAATTAGTATTCAAGCTAAAGAGAGGAATTGAGTGAATTGATTCCAACAGAGGAATAGAGTGATTCTGTTTCCAATAAAGGTTTCTTGTATACAAGACAATGCACAAGAACTAATAAATATTCAATAAAAAATACCTGACCATACTTTAATGCAAGGGTTTTTAACATCCTGGACTTGCCAATCTAAACTAGAAGACTCAAATGTTTGATAAGTCTAACTGGTGGGCCTTTTGAATCTATAGAAGCTGCATGAAGGAAATAACCAGCAATTCCACTGAAAGCAGAAATAAAAATCTAGAGACACACATGACAACTTAACCACCGATGAACAAGTAACACAGGACAAAATTGAATCCTTATTGCAGGAAGAGACATATCTGCACATGAAAACTTCAGCTTCTCAATCAGAATATTTCATACCTTTTTTTCTGATGAGTATATCTAGTGAAACTAATATATGCTATAAAAGTTATTTACTGAGAACGATAATTTCTAGGAAAAACATTCGTCAGATGGAATATGAAGAAGATAACATGGATACATTAAGAACTATCAAAATAAGATTTGAGATTGGTCTTGAACTCGTGTTGTCTTGAGTAGCACAAAACACATAATAAATAAGTACAAAATGATACCTGTACCCCCACTTCCAGAAGCTTCAATATTGATGAAAGCACTGATTGTCCTGTTCCATCTATGTGTCTTGATAAAACCATGTGAGCCCTGGTTAAAAAGCATGCACAGGAACAAATCAACACAAAATTTGCATATTTCTTTTAGATTACAATACTCCGTTGATTCTTTAAAAAAATATTCCATAAGAAAATTTGTTTTGAGGACTTCAGTGTTTTTTTATAGTGACAGATTTCCAGGATGGACAACCCTACAACTATTTTCACCAAGAAAATGAAAATTTTGAAATTTCTCAAAGGTAACTCATCCCATCTGATAAGATCAAATGGTATCCAGCCCTTCGAACACAATTAGCTCAGATTAAATTCAAGCAAAGACAACCAAAATGGACCTTCATTATACATCCCAGCACAACCATTATCATTTTTTATAATATGCATTTGCATTTTATAAATGTGAAAAGTGGTCAACCAGCTAGGTAACATACCAAAAGAAAAAGTTCCTCTGCACCATTGAAAAGGAAAATCACCGGTCGAGGAGGGATCCACCCAGAGTCAATGATGAGTCGTGATAGCTCAAGCATAGATGCTGGACAGGAAATACTCCATAAGATACAGTCTCATAGAAGTCTGCATAGTAAGAACAAGGACTGTTCTTACAAAAATTAAAAAAAAGAAAGAGAAACAGAGTACTTACCAACACAAGAACCACAATCTGCTGCACCAGGAGATCCAAGCGGACTGTCAAAATGACCATTTACCAACAAGGATGGATCATCATCTTCTGAAACATTTGATGAAATCCTGTAATTAATTGTTATATCTTAGAAAATAATTTGTTTAAATTACTCTTTAAAAGGATACAAGATAGGCACACTAATATCCCTATAGAAGCCCAACCATAGATAAAGTGGCCCTGTTGATGGATTCTAACCTAAATTGGATGATTACAAGAGTTGAGCCTCATAAGCCATGGGCGATGTAATTTAAAATAAGGTAGGTCAATAGACTAGCTTATGACTCAGGTAACCCTTTCACTGTCTTGATAGAAAACTTGTAGTTACTAGTACTTATTATGCATCTAGGTAGCTGATGTCAATGGTTCGACTCCTACCATATGCTGTATGCAATCAAAAACTATTTCCACTGCTGCTTCTGAAAAGAGCTAATAAGTGAACCAGACCAGATGTAGTTACCAGTTTTCGTCAGTATGCTTGAAGAAGATAAGATTGTAGAGGCAATACATAACATGATACTCAAGTAACACTATATGTTAGATACATGCTTACAGATACATAACACAAGTAAATTACACAATGGATAGGAATTAACAAACATTGAAGCTAATGTTGTCATGGTAGGAACTATCAACCTATGGTAGTTTCAATAGTTTCTTAAAATTAATCACCTATTGCATGGGCTTGCAACTCAGATGAAAAAATAATTTATTAGAGCAAACTCATGTGTGTACCTCATGACAACATTTTTATGATTCCTGTAGCCTAGTGTTACTCTATGACGCAGAAACATCATGCTGAAAGAGCCGCTAACAAGTGTTTCCTCAACCTCTATTCTGCAAGGGGAAACAAAAAATGAAATCAATATAAACCTCTATTCTGCAAGGGGAACCGAAAAGTGAAGTCAGTAACCACCTCTATTCTTTCAGACAAAACAAAAAGTGAAGTCAATAACAGATGACAAATAGAAAAAGAAACCAAATACTAAAATTTGTCCATTCAGGTAATCCAGAACTTTCTAATTTCTCCATGGTTCATAGTACAGACTAGCGAAAGATGTACATCAGAACCACTGAATGAACACAAGAAAAATAGAAGAGCTGTTCAAATTGGTTGTTGTTTCCTGCAGTTTGGGTTTTGCAATCCTCAAATGAGATAATGGTAGGCATTCCCAAATTTGTAAATAAGAAATCAACAAAATTTTACTAGCGTAATTGGACTCCACAAGCTAAGGATCCAGAATCTGATGTTCATTTGTTTCCCAATGCCCAGACCAATTACCCTTGACCTACCAAAAACTGAGACACAAGGCATTCATTCCAAAGATAGATGTGTAAAAAGAAAAGACACCTGGAAAGTACCACTTTGATTACAGTGCGTTGGGCATCATTGGACCCAGTACTGAAGTTTAAGTTTCAGCTATCTCAAGCCAAGGTATAAACCACGGGAAAAACCTAGTGCAACTAGTAATGCAATGCTAAGCAGATGGCAGGATCTGCTAGGCTTGGTAATATTGGTGAAGCGAGGGGCTCGAAATGCTAATTTCAAGCTACCATGGATCTGGCCGTACTTGTTCTGCTTGGAGCCTTGGACCACACTTTCCTGTCCTTTTTGTCCTAAGAATAATAACTTAGGCGGGCAGGCCTGGTGCAAGCGGTAGAGTCTTACCGCCTATGACCGGAAGGTCTCGGGTTCGAGTCGCGGTCTCCTCACATTGCACAGACGAGGGTAAGGCTTGCTACTAACATCCTTCCCCAGACCCGCACAGAGCGGGAGCTCTCTGCACTGGGTACGCCCTTTTAATAATCACTTCAGCATCTTACAGAAACGAATTAAAGTCTGACTACCAGATACTCCGTACTGCTGTGATTGCTGCAGCAAGCAAAGCATAGAAACCAACACTCTGTCGCATCCCAAGTTTCATTGCTCCAAATTTAATGCCGTACTAGGAGAAGTATTCCAGCGAGCACCCAGCGTGCAGGACCACAAACCAACACCCGAACAGCAAAACCATCAGTATCAGTGGAGTCACAATCTTTGGTACCCAGAGGCCAGAGCAGAGCAGAGCAGAGCAGGCACTCCAACAAATCTTCAGGCCTTGTTTAGATTGCAAATTTTTGCAATCCGGATACTGTAGCACGTTTCGTTTGTATTTGACAAACTTTGTCCGATCATGGACTAACTAGGCTCAAAAGATTTGTCTCGTGATTTACAACCAAACTGTGCAATTAATTATTTTTTTACCTACATTTAATGCTCCATGCATGTGTCCAAAAATTGATGTGATGAAGAGAGAGTGAAAAAACTTGGAATTTTGATGGGATCTAAACGAGGCCTCAGTCGATTGGAATCAACCAAGAGCAGAAACAAGCAGGGTAGGGGGGATTCACCTGTACTCCGGGCCCGCACGCGCGGAGAGACCCTGGAGCTCCCCTTTGATGTACTGCGCGGCGGCCTCCAACCCTGGGCTCCCCTCCTGCAGCAACAGCAACAGCAACAGCAGCAGCAACAAATCAGCATCGCCAGGCCACACGACACGAGCGAACGGCGTGGGGCCAAGGGTGGGTGGGGGGCCGCGGACCTGGCGGCTAGGGATGTCAACGGCGAGGCGGGTGAGGTGCTGGAGCACGCGTCCCTCGGAGAAGTTCCCCCGCGGCGCGTCGGCGCCGAGCGGCGCGACGTGGCGCATGTGGATGACGCGGTAGGCGAGGAGAGACATGGCGGCGTAGAGCGCGGCCAGCGCGAGCAGCACGCGCACGGAGTCGCCGAAGCCGGCGGGGCCTCCTCCCGCGGCCGCGGGAGCAAGCCGCCGGCGCGGCGGCGCGAGGGGCGCCATCGGACGGGCGGAGGCGGGTCAGCCTCGGCGGCGGCGCCCGGCTGTCGTCGCGACGCGAGCGAGCAAGGATTCGGAAAGGCGTGGTGGCGTAGGGACCCTCGTGACCCGCTGCTGCGAATGGAAGATTTGATTTGACTTTGATTTGGGGGAGGCGGAGGGAGAGGAGCAGCCGGGCGGGGCGGGGCGGGGCGGAGGTGGGCTCTCGGGTTGGTTCAGAGCTGGTGGGAGTAGGATGACGCCATGACGGACAGGGTGGCCCACCCCCCGTGCCGTGGAGGTCTGTGCGAGCGTGACTGCGCGGGCCGGAAATTCTTGACTCGGGACCGCGTACCAAACCAGAAGACGCCCAGCCGCCGTGCGTTTGGACGACAGGACGGGATCAGCCAGCAGGTGGAGCAAGTTCACATGGAAAACTAGTGGTTCGCGCACTCGCCAGTCTCAGCAGGTTTCATGTCACTGCTTTCAAAACTCTCTGGTATTAACCGTGCAAATAAGTTTCATCCCCTAAAACTTATTTCATCACATGAAACTTTTAATATACCTCTTTTCATTAAAAATATAATGCATCAGTTTATTTAATGCTAATGAAACTCTCATAAAATTTTCAATAAAACATGCCTTAGATGAACCATTGAATAAAAACGGTTTTCTATATCTTTTCACCTTCCAAAAACTTTTATATATCTTGTTTGTTGTTTGGAGAGTCATCTCCCCTCTCTAAAGTTAGCAATAAATCAGGAATAGAGGCTGACAATATTTTACGATCTAATTGAAAAGGTTGTTAGACATTTTCTACACCAAAATCTCTATTTCTATCAATACATAAGCTGTTGGAAGGTTTATTCACCAAAATCTTTGTTCTTACGATATAGAAGAATATAAAGAGACTATTAGAGTTGCTCTAAATTTTGTTTAAATGCATATAGCTAATTCTTAGCGGCTATTTATTAGTTGTAACCTATCAAAATGGGGTTAATACGTGGATTAATTTTTTTAGTCAAGCCTCCAACTATTTGTAGCCAACTAGCCGGCCAACTCCAATTAAGTTAGGTTAACTTTTTGTTTACACCAAAATTTAGAAAGGAGAGCGTGGAAACTCGAAGCTTTTAAGATTGTGTCATCAAGGAATCGATTAGATATGAATCGGTATCAGCTGATTTGGATGCGATATCAGAATCAGCTATTTTATAGATGACATCAGCAGACGACGTCAATGAACTACGTTTGGATGGCGTCGGGAGAGACGTGTCGGATTCTACAGAAAAGAAAAATTAACGTCCAAGTTATTATTAAGTTATGAAGTTTTCTTTTATTTCAAGAATTGTACTAAGTCGTATTCGAATAGTATTCATGTTTAGGTTCCGTGTATAAATATTGGACCCTGGTTATTGTAAAAAAAACAAACACTCAATCAATATAATCTTTTCGGCTTTTACCATCGTATTAGGAGTAGGAGTATTGTAGATCTCGGCGAGTTCTTCAGCAAACAAGGCTGCATCGACTGATCGACTTTTAGCTTAGTTTGTGAGTATCGTCACGACTTGTATTGTACTTGTAAAGTTGCATCAACTGATTGATCTTTTAGGAGCTATAATATAAGTTAGTTATCGATCTTGTCGTAGTTTCTAAGGCAGCATCAGCTGATTGATCTCTTACGAATCATAATATAGATCAAAGTTATCAATTTTGTGTTAAATAACTTGTTGTTTAATACAATATCATCAGTTATCGAATCTGCTAAAATTAGTAAGATTTTTCTTAATATTTTTTTATTCATCAGTTATCAATCTTGTTATAATTAATGTTTTATTAATTTTAACAAATCACCCGATTAAGATAGAGATAGATCGGCATCATATCATCTTAATTGGTCGTCCTTTGATTTAGTCACGCTTTAAATCTTATAATTGATGACTTAATTCCGATAGATCGGCTGTTTTATCTCTATTCTAATCAAACATAGCATGTATCCAAAGACATGTTTTAATCTTGAATAAATTCACTAGTTAATAAGATCTAATCTAATGACACTACCATACTGTATCGATCCGGTCGAACCTCACTGGTAAGACTTTAGATTAGAAATTATCTATTAGTGGTCTTGTTCATGATCAAGATATGTACTATGTTTGTTTGCTATGACTGCATCGGTTATTTTAGCTGATTTGCCTATACTCTCACGCATATAGCATGTTTTCATGAATCTGTCAATATATAGATGATTTTATAGATTCTTTGGCTTTAGTTTGTTATCATTATCATAGCTACATCGATCCGATCGAACCTCATTGTTAATGATAATAGATTAGATTCAAACTGTTTGTAGATTCATTTATATTAGACAGTTGATTTATTCGCATGTTATACTCTTTTCATCAAACTTATCGGTTTGACGCTTTATATCGATTATGTTCCATTTAGCCGATGATACTTTCTAATGTTCCGTGAGCATCGGTTAGTTTGATTCATATCATTATCATTTAATATTAGATAATAATCCTTAATTTAAAGATCTTCATTTCATGGATACGCCGGATATCAACTATTTAGTCGATAGCTTCATTGAATCGGCTATCTAGTTGTATATTTGGAATTGTTTGGTGCAACACCGACATGTTCCACCTTAAATTACTGATAAGATTTTCTCTCCTTGTCAATTGCAGGTCAAATTGACTAGCGCATCATTGGATTTTCAGAATCGGCTGGTTCTATGTTGAAGCCAAGCAGATCTCTGGTCTCGTTCTACTCAGATCATCCGGCTTACTATGTGTTGATCACATCGTCATATTTTTGTGTCAACACACTTTTTTGGCACGCCTTGTGGGACCACAATCGTCATGGCGGTTCACAACAATAAGGATATTCTTATGGTACCTTATGAAGACTTACCTGGTGAGGATAAAGATGTCATTGATAAGGTTATAGAGGAGTTTTAGAATAAGTGCTTGTTATCATACACCAAAACACGTGACAATAAAGTTGTTTAGAAATATCCACTGCCAAGAGTTTTGATGCATGGACAGTCAGATACAGACGAAGCTGATGATAAGCGTTTCTTTGTAGAAGCTGTCAACAAATATGTTCATGATGCAATGCTGAATCATAATACAGCTTTCTTGAATATATTCCACAGTACCATGAAGGAGGTGTTTCATGGATTTTCACTTGATCAGGTTGGACCGACTTATTACAATATTCCGCATCCGTCGACTCAGGAGACTAATCAAGCCGGTACTAGCCATCAAGAAGCAGCACTAGCTAAGAGTGATGATGCCTAGGCAATTCAGAATTCATCTAAGCAAATTCAGGGTGCTACTACTAATCAAATACAATATACTTGGATCATCAGTGCAGCAACCGATAGGGCAAGTTCAGAATCAGATGGTTAATTTTGGTACATCATACCAAATACCACCGTCGGCTCAAAAAATAGCACCATGGTTCAAAGGATTCGTAGAGATATAGATCCTAATGTGTTCAATTAGAGATTTCAAATAGTAAATCAGCAAGGGGCCCGACAGATAGATATTCCACAAGGATATCATTATGGTTCAGATCATAATACCCTCAATATGATTCCAAATCTAGGATATCAAGGCACTCAGAATTTCAATTTGCAGATGGGTCAACAATTGCCAAGAAATCCAAACTCAAATGCTGATGAATTGTTGCTCAGAGTAACCGAAATGATGAAAAATCAGTTTGGTTTAAAACCAAAATGGTAGACCTTTTTGTACAAACGTCCGTATCCAGAGTGGTATGATTTGGTGGCCCTTCCTACGAACTACAGGTTTCTAGAATTTGCTAAGTTCACTGGTCAAGATAGCACAAGTACAATAGAACATGTTAGTCGATATCTTACTCAGTTGGTTGAAGCCTCTATTGAAGAAGCGCATCGAGTTTGTTTCTTTTCTTTGTCCCTGTAAGGACCAGCTTTCACTTGGTTTTTATCACTAGTGGTTAATTCTATTGCCAATTGGAGTGATCTTGAAAAGAAATTCATACATATTTCTATATTGGGACAGGAGAAAGAAAGATCACATATTTAACGACTATAAAGCAAAGAGCTAATGAATCGGGTGCTAAGTTTCTTCAGTAGTTCCGAGAAATAAGAAACTTATTGTCGGTGCAGAAAGTGACCAACAAGTAAATATTTGTAGTTTTATCGTACGTTCTGATCGGAGGTGGCCTAGCACTCAATGACATAGGGTTTATACTGGTTCAGGCAATGTGCCCTACGTCCAGTTTGAGTTGGTCAGTGACTTTATTCTTGAGCCTAGGTGCTCGAAGTTTGCAGTGGGGTTACAAACGGGAAGGAGAAAGATGGAGTGTACAAGAGGTCCAGTCTGCTCCGGTCGGAAGGGCCGAGAGCGATAGGAGATCCGCTATGAGCTAAGTGTTCAAGCGTGTGCTTGAGGTCTGAACCTAGTGGTTCTGTGGTTGTGAGCTAGTGAAATGGATCGATCTAATGAATTTGGAATCGCTTGTATGAACTTGAATCAACTTAGTCTCTTGGGAGAGAGCGCATCCCCTTTTATAGATGAAGGGGATGGCCTTACAAGTGAGAGGGAGAGAGTACAAATGCTTCTAAACCTTGTTGCCCATGTCGGCAGGTACATGATGATGGTAGGCGCCCACAACACTGTTGGATGTCAGATGCATGTGGGAGGTTATGTCGTCTTGTTTCGGGTATGGAAAATGTCGGTACCTGCATATACTGTTGATGCCTAGAGGCATGTGAGGAGTTTCATCATGTTCACTCGGCACGGTAAATTCCGGCGCCCACAACACTGTCGATGCCCAGAGGCATGTGGGGGGGCCTTATCGTATGGGAGTTAATGGCGCCCACAATACTGTAGGTAAAAAGTCGGTGCCTACAACACTGTTTATATCAAGGCGGTTGCAGAGTACTATTCCTGCAGTGTATAGGGTACAATCCTCGGTATCATGGTTTGACTTGTGCGTCATGCCTTGCTTTCTCCGTTCATTGCCTAGTCCTT